GGAAGTGTAACTATGATTAAAATCACCAACTATTCCAAGAACCGTCCAGGCTGACATGTCTGCAGCGAAGCAGCACCTGAGCTGATGGCCTTATCTGCTGCAGCTGCTGTTGGAATGTGAGTAGTTGCAAAATAACACCGGCAAATTTATATTAAAATATGGAGAATATGTACATTTGTGATTTATGTTTCTTAATGTTTAACAAAAACACGTTTGATATAAATGAAATGTTTAAGGGATGAACTGGTCCCTTAGTCAGTATTTAATGTTAATGACAGATAAATATATTTGATTTCATTAATTTGTGTGGCAATGATAAATCAAAACTTTTTTATGAAAATAATATATAACAATAAACAATGCTGTAAAGGCCTACCCCTGCAGTGGCCTATTCTGCTGCTTGAAACCAAAACTACAGACAACTGCATGGATTTCATCTGAAAAAGAGCTGATTTTATAAAAATATATCGAAAGAATAATTCTTAATAAAATGAAAGCTGTTAGCTTGAACAGGGGTAGAAACCACACCAAACTGTTTGGAAGCATTCCAGTGACGGATGTGTGTGGTTGTCACTGGATTTACATGTGTAGCCATCTCTGACAAAATGCTCCAAAACATCAGAGTCACTGCTTTTTGTCTCTTGCTGACCAGAAGTTGTTTTTATGTCAACTTTGACTCCGAAGGATTTGATCGCTCCTGGAGCCTGTCAGAGGCTTCTCTGATCTGAACTGAGAGTTTCACAGCAAGAATCAATATTCTGCTGCCCCAGACACTAAAAGACAGGACTGAGGAAGAGGAGGAGCTTTGGAAGAGGAGGGGCATTGGAATCCTATAAAAACTGCAGCTTCATTCAATTTATTGAGAAATAGAAGAGCAGCAAAAAATAAAATAATTTAAGGTGAGAAAACAAATCGAAGACGTGTGTTGTGTGTTCTCTAAATATCTGTATTCTGAGTAAAGATGGATGCTCTTACTGTTTTAGCACAGCTAACATCTGTGAAGCATGGCCTCCTCTTTAGCTATTCTCTTCTTTGTCTCCCCTCCTTTTAAATTCCCTCTGTTATGTTTTTCTTTGTCTCTGGCTTTCCCCCTTTATCCCCACCTCTCACCACCATCTCTTCATTCCTGCTTTCAAATCGCCTACTAACATTCAGACTAAAGAAATGATGCAAACTCCTTTTCTTTCTTGAGCTTGATCCTTTGTGAAGTCAGCTTACTAGTGGCCCCAGGAAGTTTAGGAAACAGATTTGTTTTAATTACATCTGAGTCAAAACAAGAAGCCACACATTTGTTTTTTTTTTTATATCCATGTGCAAAAGCAACTCTGACAACAAGCTCAGCATACATCTCAGTTTGGAGTATTAAGTATTATTAAAGGCCTCCCATCAGCATCAGCTTCAAAGGATGTTTTTTACTTTATTGTAAAATCTAAGCAAGCTGCATTTACACTTCTGTGTTTTTGTACCTTTTCCTGTTTCTGTTATATAATCCAATATGTTTTATTGACAGAAGTGACTTTCTGGTAAGCCGTTTTAGCATTTTTTTTTTTTTTTAAAGGTAGGCCTACAGCAACAATCCATTTGTGACAATAAATGTTGAACAGAATGCAAAGGCAAAAATACTCATGATTACAGTTTGTATTATATCTAAATATCTTCATCAGAAAACCAAAACATCATAATGATTTTCAATCATTAATAAAATGCATTTGTGCTTCTTGGCCACCAGTTGGTGCTCATAGGATAATTACCAGATGTTCAAGTAAAAAGTATTTGCATCATAAAAAGTTAAACAAAAGTGTGTTTTTGATAACAAAACTTTTCTTTCTGTTTTTCTCTCACCATCCAGTGATGCATGTTAGGGAAGGGGTCACATGACTTTTAAAATGTTTCCTACATATCTAACTTCAGACTGACTGGTTCCAAACTGACCTGCATGGACAAAAGAACAATAACAGCAACGTGTCCCACAGCACTGTGGTGCCTGAAACATGAACTGTTACACTCTGTCCACATTGCAAATAAATCACACATTTGTAAAGCTGAGTAACGCTAATGATCAATGCTCGCCAGTAGCCATGGAAACCCCCTCTACTCCAAATTCCAACTAGTCACTGGGCGGGTGGTGTAACAGAGGTAGGTAGCGATGTATTTTCATATTTAAACCGGGCTGTAATGAAGTTGTATCAAGTTGTGCCGCTGAAACTGTCAAAAACAGAAAATAGTGACTCAGCTCAGTCGTTCTCTTCCAGCTACATCACACAAACTGCACGCTGTTTTCGTAGAAGAGTTTCTTTTAATTATTTCAAAATTTAAAGCATTTACTAGCTAACAGGATTTACTAGTTTAACCTCAGAAAATATTTTTTAACCATTTGAAAGAACCTTAAATATGCACTTCAGTCTTTCCCATTCTGAATTATTGTTAATGTAGGCAGGTATATGGAAAGAATAGTGTTCAAACATGTCCATTTTAAATTTTCAGAGTACATTAACTGTTGATGGCGACCATTTGAAATGAAGTTGAAAAATACTGAATGTACACAAAAACTCAGCTAACATTTTCACTGCATTTTCTTTGCTCTTTATCTTTTTGAGTCTATGATATATCTGAAATCTTATGCATAATTTTTCAAGTCTTTAGTTTTTAAACTAAATGTTTACCCACTCAGACTTAGAGACATAAACACTTGTTTGTTCTGAGAGATTTGGACAGCTGCTCAGATTCTTGACTGATGTCAACATGTTCTTCAGCTGCAAAATAAAATCAAACAATCATGGATATATAATTTTCCAGAGCATCATCTTTAATTTACCATCTGCCTACTTTGCTTGGCAGATGGTGTTACCTTTTCAAACAAACAAACAAAGAAAAACACTTTGGAGGACAGGCATCAGCTTTTATGAAAGAAACATACCTGGGTTGTTTCTGCATATAACTTTGCTGCTTGGAATTCTAAAATATAGTCATTTTTAGTGACTTTTACTTATTCTGTTAAGGCTTATTTGTTATATCCAGCATACACTTAAAAAATACTGACCTTTAAGCAGGTATTAAATGTGCTTTTATTCAAAATGCATCATTCTCAGGCACATTTTCTAGCTCCAAATTGGATGAACTTAAATGCTTAATGGATTTAATCATAGCAGGGATGTGGCCCAGGGAGGTCATCATTCTGTATAAAGGCATGCATAATTATTGGACAACTTCTTTTCCTTAAATAAGAAATTTAACTGACTCTGAAAAGTCCAAATTGACCAAAGGTCACGCAGAGCGATGCAGTATTCAAGAAACTGTTGATATTGGGGCGTGATCACAGATCCATCAAATGTTTTGATGCAAATACTCAACAGTCACAAGAAAGATTTTGAAAAAAAAAAATGACATGGAAATGCATAGTGCTCAGCTGACCTGAACCCAACTGAGAACATTAGATTTCCAATCAGAGTGGTGGCTGCTGCACAAGTTGGTCAACTGATGAAGAAACTTACAGACTCCATGGATGGAAACTGATGACTGCTGTTGGAAAGACAGGTGGCCATATTCACTGACTGAAATGTTCTTTTGAAATTTGCTGTAATTGTCATTTATTGTAATATATGTATTGTTCATTTAGTCATAATTACTGTTCTAGCTGGATGGAGCAGGCATCTAGAATGCGTCATCTAACCAGGGTGCGTTGCAGCATAACCATCATACTGATGTCCATGTGGCAATATTTTATTTGAATTTATAAAAACAGTAGTTTTACTGTGTTGTTTTTACTTTGAAATACATGTTTCTCAGTCTGTTGTTTCCACTAATCATGGATGGATTTAAGAAGCAATTGAACAAGCTATAAATTTGCTAATGAGTATATTTTTATGCAGCTTGACTCTTTGTGACATTGCGGTCAAGAAGTGGAAATGATCTTGATCTTGAATGATCTTGAAGGGTTCATCAGGGTTCAAAGCATCCTGGTGAAGGATATACACATGCTTTAGGACTTGTTGCTTAGAACAGGGGGATGTTGTGTATGTTTTCATCCAAACAGTGTGATAATGACTTCTGGTGGACTGCATGGACTACTTGCTGATTTGCTAACAGATAATATAAAGTTAAAATTGTATCAGAAAGTTGTACAATTTCTTCCTTCCATCACTCATTGCATGTTTCTCAGAAATCCACGTCTTTGCTGTCCAGCTGCTTATACTCTTCAAAGAGGATTGTTCTACAGCATAATGCACTGTGCAATGAATGTTTGAACTTCTCTGAGCCTACCACACTGTTCACGGCAGGTGTGTTGTTACAGGGCCAAGTATCTCCAGATCCACTGAAAAACTTCCAACCGTTTCATTAAGTGTCAGAGGAATCGTAGCATCTGTTTAATTACAGTGGAGGCTTGAATTGGGCTTTGAGGTTCCCAGCGCTGCTGGAGAGGTCTGTATGTCACACAGGCAGCTGTACAGGCAGACAGCACAGGCACATCCTCACCACTCCTCTGCTCTAATGGTGTAAACACCATCACTCTGATAAGAATATTTGAGTTTGTTTACATACAGGATCAAAAGCAAACTACAGCATGACCAAAACTCACAGGGGATATGACAACCTACTGGCTTCCAAGTTTGGGTGTTCAGTTTGTAGAATGTCTAGATCAGAGGTCCTCGAGCCTTTCACCACCCACCCATTTTCACAGTCAGTGTTTAATGGTAAAATTCAGAACATACAGGCCTTATTATCTGTCTGATTGGTCAAATTTCTGACACCAGTCAACACAATGTATACCTTTAAATGTTACCGGCACCTGATCTAGGGGAATCTGAGCCAGTATCAAGTGATGCACAGGCAAATGAATCCTGTGCAACCAAGATCTGTAGATCACAGAGGAAACACTTTGATACAATGTTACTCTGGCAAGAGCTCATTTATTCTGACACACATTTTCAATTAAAGAAAAACAACCAAATAAATAAATAAATAAAAATACAATCACAATGCAATTCAAACTCAGTCAACAACATGCATAGTTTCCACACATAAAATAAAACAAAATGCACATAAATGAAGAAAATCTAATCCTAAATTAACAAAACCAAACTGAACAAAACATTCAATCTACAACACACAGTAAACGCTGTTTGTCAGTTACAACTGTTTTCTTGTTGAAAAAGCCCAGTTCACGCAACACTATTAAACTTTACTCATTGATCTTTGTCAGTTATAACCGTTACGGTGATTACAAAGGAGGTCAAGCCTACAACACATAAATGCACTTTCATGAGAAATAAAAATACTACAACGCTACCAAAATACAAACACAACATTGACTAATCAAGCAATTTAAACAAATTCAAAATCCCAAGGCTTCAACAACAAAAACACAGTAGCCATGGAATCTGTTGATCTGTGAGCCATATGCTGACAGATCAACGCGAATAAAAAAACTGTGAAAATTACACATTAAAGTTATACAATAGACTACAAAACTAATCTTTATATATTTACAGAATATTTTAAATGGGCTTATAAAAGTTGCCTTTTATCCTACTTGTGGTCACAGAGGAAGCAACTTGATACAACATCTGAGCCATGCAGGGACCTAAAGACTCAACAGCCTAAAGAAGGCTGGTTCTGTTCTGGTTCTGCTCTGTACAGCTCTGTGGTTGACTGTGGAACCTCTGGAAATGACAATACAAAGAAGGATTCTTCATAAAATCAAGAAAATTATTGATAATCCTGAACATCCTCTTCATGAGACTGTGCAATGAAAGCCTGACTCTTACTCTGGATTCAAAGCCAGGTGTGTTTTCTATTCAAAATATTACTCAGATAAATGTAACTGAATGGGTAACTACTACCCATGTATGGAAGGCAACTTCACAGGCATATTGCATGACTTGGTCAGCAGGATTCAGGCAGCCCAGGTATGTCAGACTAAAACCGGTTTAACGGGAGCCTCGTCTCTCCAGTCTCAGTGCAGAAACCTGGAGGAAAAGCAAGTTCCCGATGGTGTCGGAGCCTCCATCTATCTGACCCTTATGTTGACTCTGGATAAAAACACACAACAAACACAAAACCCCTTCAGTGGCAACAGTCATGGGTGAAGGTCACATAACTGCTTTAATTCTATTGGCTCCATTTAGTAGAGCTTGGTTGGCCTGGGTTTTTTTCTGTTTGTCTATCCCAGAGGCAGACTTTCTGCTCTGTCCTTGGACCCTGTTCTCACACTTCACAGCCAGTATGAGTGGTTCAACCACACACACATCAACGCATAAGTACATTGTGTACACACACAGGTCTACAGATGGATCAGTCCTGGCCCTGGGGAGTGAGAAGTGTGAGCTAGCGGCATTTTTATCTAATAAAGCTCTAACAGCTCCTGTGTTTATTTCTGGTTGTGTTTAACACCTTCTGCTCACCCTCCATCAGCCCCCTGCCCACCGGGACACAAATGACACCAAAAACACTGAGCAAGCTCTGAAACACCTCGGCTGGCTGGTGTCACTATGAGTGAGTGTGTGTTGGTGTCCTGTCCCCCCAGGGATCAGATGAGTGTGGTTGGATTTTCTCTTTCACCAAAATTCCCCAAGTTAAGTTGGTGTTTTTCTGCCTCCACAGTGAAAGGGAGCAAAGAATGCTGCCCCACTTTCATTTTTTCAACCCAATGAGTGAGTATGGATGTGAGGTTAGCATGGTCTAGCAGAGCAAGTCCACCATTTAGTGGCCATTAGTTCTGGCATTTTTCAATAAAAATATTGGCAGGTCTTAAATCTTAGGCTACGTTCACACAACAGACAAAAGTGATTCATTTGTATCTCCTAAACTTCTTTAGAAAAAGAAGTTTAGGACTTAGGACAATAAAAAAAGATGGATAAAAATCCATCTTTTTTTATTGTAGTTATAATGGTTCAGTTCTGTTGTTTGGTACTAATTTTTCTTTCCGTCTTTGTTGTGGATATGGCCAAGTTTAACTGAAGACTTTAGTTTGAGTGCAGTTGTTAAGCCACTCAGCGCTCAGACACTTTTCTTGCTTCCTATGGGTGAATTTCATTCACAAAGTCAAGAGCACACATTTTCAATTTGAAAGAAGGATTCATTTCTTTATTCTTAAAACTTGTAATGCTTACATTCAAGAGTTTGGCTCTCTTTCAAATATTTTCTGTGCTCTCTCAAATCTTTGTGTTCAGATTTCTAATGCTTGTATCCTGCACAGACAGTCTGGGTTACTGTTTGGGTTTGGAGTTGAAGCATGTCTGTAGCCACCTCGATGGGTAAGGGTGGGTAGAGGGGGTGAAGGGTGATGTCAGGTGCTGGGTTGTTTTGGATTTAATTAATTGATTCCAGTTTCATTGTAATTCAGTTTTATTTAGTCTCTTTCTTGATTAGATCAGCTTTGTTTGTGTTTTACCCTTATTCACTTCATCTTAAGGAATATGTTTATTTCATTCTTGTGTCTAGTTATGCCATACTAATGCATAGGAAAAAAGTGTATTGGCTTGTGAAACATTAACATGACATTAGCCTTGTGCCTAAGATAAGCATTTAGCAAATTTTAGATTGTATATTCATCATACTGGATGGATTAAGTTAATTTAAACTGACATGCTGATGATATCACATGTGCTACTGATGACATTTCGCTAATATTGGGTTCATTTTGGCTAATGTTAGCATACTGAATGGAGTAATTCAAGACTTGAGACAATAATGTTTTGGGTCAGATGAGAATGCTGGACTCCAACTGACATGCACTCTTTGGCAGGCATCTTTTAAATTTCTTCTGAAAGTTCCTGGTTATTGCTTAGATTCATTTCTTAGTTTATTTTTTAACTCTATCTTGCCCGCTACTGCCACTCTCTCTCCTCAGTCTGCCTCCCTCACACCTGCAACCTACCAGCTTTTCACATGGTCTTTGGTTCCAGCATTCACCCTCACTGTATGTAAACACTTCTCCTGTCCTCACTCCTCGCCGGTTCCACTTTATACAAATATAAGTAATTAATTACTTCCTTAATTTAAGTTTTGAAATGTCTTTATATTTGTATTACATTTTCTGTTTTGCTTTCCTCACACTGTTGGTTTGTGTGACTATTCTTTTATTTATTGGTTGTTTTTTTTAATCTTTTTTTGTTTTGGTCATCATATAAAACTTTTTTTATTGTTATTCATGTATGCCTTGTCAAATTTTTTCTTTGAATTTTCAATGATGACAAAAAAAATAGATATATTTTTGTCAATTAAAACATTACAAGCAGCAATGAATTGTGGGTAATGTACTTAGCTTAATTCCACATGGATGCAAGCTCATCCACAGTGTGGATCCAGGGGCGGGGGTGACGGAGCACTGGGACAATCTAGGCACTCAGACTTTTCAGTTGAAGGACACAAGGGCAGAACAAAGGTGGACGTGTGAGTATTGGGACCAGCCATAGAATGAAAGCATTATACTAGAGTCCTGGTCTCAATACTTGTACTTCCAGCCTTGTGTCCTTCAACTGTGCGTTCATGCTGAAGGGTTTGAGTGCCAAGTGTGTTCCAGTTTTCCACCTCCATCTTTCTCCCCGCCCATTTTGGGTCATATTCATCTATTGATGCGGGCATCCATTTTCACATCAGTAAACAGCACTGCTGTGTAATCTATGTTTTCCTTCTGTGCCTGTGGGTCGCTGTGGGGTTGTAAACTGTTCTACACAAGACTGCACACCAAAAAATCCTAGACGGTAAAGCATTTGGTTGTTTAGCATTTTTTTAAATATATCGGTTCACAGATCTGAGAAAAAGAAAATTAAACTTTGAATTTGTATTGATAATTAGTCAATCCAGCATCTGAGCACTTGGATGCATCATAACAGCCGGGAAATCCCCTCTGGTCAGGAGGGACACAGCAGGACAATATTAATGTGTTGTTGCATGCATACCAAACCAACGGGACTATTCTTGATTTGTTTGGTATGAATACATCATAACACCCATAAATAACTACTTCCAAAGAGAAAAAAAGCTTGCATAGCTATGATCCCAATCAGTACCTCATTTTCTAAACCTGTTGTGAATGTAATGCTTTAGCACCTGTCTGGAATGGAAGACACACACAGGTTCAGGTTTTAAAGACAAAATATGTCCTCTGATAGTACAGGTTTCATAAGGATTCAGACTCCACTGAAAATGAGTGATAAATGACTGCTGTCCTTTTATTGTGTTTGAAACAGAAGAAAAGTGCTTTAGGAAAAGGTTGGAGCAGCTCTAAGACATGCTAAACCCAGGAATGAACAGGCTGCTTGTGGATTGACCATTCTGAGAAAATTACCTCCAGAGCCCACACACACACACACACCCTCATTGCAAATTCCTTCCACTGTGAGGCTTTAGCAAATCCAGATGTGTTTGTGGGCTGAAGACAAAGACAGGCTTTAAAAGCATTTCTTCAGTGTTCGAATTGGTTGAGTTATGACTCCTGTTGTGAGGAATATGATCAGCACTATTTTATGCAATTTTCTATAGTGACCATAAGTCCAGATGTAGATGATGAAAATATCCATATCTGTTTAAGGTGCAGCGTCAGGCAGACAACCAATCTAATGACCTTTGAAGTGATGCAAAATCAGAAAAATGAAGAAAACTTATTTCCAACAGGCCTGCAGCAGCTTCGTGAACAAAAAGCAGCACGCACAATCAGTTTGCCAAAGTGGATTTGGATTCTGCTTAGGGCTGCAGGACTTCAGCAGGACTTTTCATGTCTTCGTGGAAGGTTGTAACGACTCAGCAAAGCCAAGAGGTGGTCAGCCCTTCACTAAGTTTTGTGCTCATCAAGAACTACAGGAGGCGCGGAAAAGGGGGGAAGCTCATTGAAAGAGGGGAGAGAGGGAAAAAAATAGGTCACAGCTGTTCTCTATCTTCCCCCTCCACTCCAAACCCGCAGCCAAACGAACCCCATTCCACCTCCTCAGCAATCCAAATCGCATGTACATGCTTGGAGCAGACCTCCCGTTTCATGTTTATTTTAAATGTGCAGGGAAAAGAAAGAGGAGAAAAAAATACATTCCAGAGGAAACATGATCTGGTGGTCAGGAAGAAAAAAGATGGAAGAGAAGCAGGAGGCAGGAAGAAATCATTAGATTTTTATCAGTTCAGTCATGTCTGCAGTGCTGGGAAGGCTTTCAATTTGCTTTTGCTTTTGCTGAGTTCATGTAAAAGTTAGTCAGGTAACGAGAAAAAAAACCTCACTCATAGAAATTCTTTCTCTCTTTTATGCTAATGGACAAGTTTTATTTGATATAATGGAAAGTTTTAGACAAGACTGTTGAACTGTAGCTCACACTGTCTGAAAACCGCATGCAGCCTGAACAGTTTACTGAAGTCCTCTATAGTCACTGACCCACAGGACTAATAAAACTGCACAGAACTGCAGGTATCAGTGAAAGCCAAAATGTATTCAGTATCTCATTTTGACACTTCAATCATAACCCATCCATATATTTTTGGGTATCCAAAGTGCAGTAAATATGGATATTTTCTTCAGACAAATAAACTAAACTTCTTCAGTAAATAAGTGTAGTTTCAAGAACATTACTAATTCTCTGCTAACTCACACTCACACATTGACTTAGTATCTAGTAGCAGCAACAATAAGGCTATTTTTACAGAGGGTTCTATTTTTTTGTAGTTTTTGTTCAATATGTTTTGAAATTTTTCTTATGCTGTCACTAAATGTCCAATTCAATCCATGTAAAAAGCAGACTTTCAGATTTCTTTTTTTTTTCTGTTGCCATGGTGAATTACATTATCTAGGTTCCATCAACAAGGGCTTCTTCACGCTTACTCTTGGGTAATTTGACTTAGAATTGAGTCATAACACTTTCTGTAACTGAAAACCCTGAGTGTCGCAGAACAAGGTAAGTTCATTCAGAGTATTTGCCTTCGACTCAGAGTTTGTTAACCCTGATTTCTGAAACAGGGACCAGGTCCAGACAGTCATAAATCTAAAAAGAATGATTTCATCTTACATCGCATTTGTATTGTACATGACTTTGACACACTTGTCAACATC